GGTTACTAGGGCGATATACTCGAATACTGCTCGTTAGTCTACTCTGCGTAATTGAGATCTACTCAAATTGAAATCGTTTCGAGTAATTAAAAGTTACTACGGCGAAATACACTCTCAAAGTCCAAATGTTGTTCAAAAGAGCAATATTTTGTTGGAAACCTAATTAAATATATGTGTTATTTGCCGACCGGGAGGTCTGTGTTGGGAAAAGCTGTGCCCGAGGTCTTGAATACGGCGAGAGGCTGCAGGCCTGGGACCGTACTAAAGACCGAGGGTACCGTTTTTCCCAATAGCGACCGACTAAGACCGACAAATAACGTGTTTATTTTTCCTCTCTACGGTCAGTTGCTTTGAAAGCACCTTTTGTGTGGAGTTTTGAATTAAAGCCGTTCATCTCAAATCTGGCGTACGCTAGCGTTTGACATTTCGGGCACAAAAAGCGCTAAAAACGTTTAAAGAAGTTGACACAGTGTTGAATGCTTACATTTTCCGTTGTTTTGCCGTCTAACAAAACGCTTGAAAAGTTGCCAAAAGTTAGAAATTTCGGAGCGGTTCGTACTCGGGGTCCGGATCAGAAAATCAGGACCGCTGGAGCGCGCGCTATTAGCTGTGCAAGTGCATATTAACCAAAAAGAAATACTTTGTGGCTGAGTTACACTCATTTTATAAAGAAATCACACAAGACGTATGGGTTATTGACCAAGTGTGAGGTCAAGATAGCTGGATATTGGCCAAGTTCTTTTTTTGCGTGTTTATGGACTGAGACGGAGTCGAGGTCTATAAACTCGCAAAAAAAGAACGAGGCCAATATCAAGCCATCTTGACCGAACAAGCTTGGTCAATAAAGGATTTATTATATGGCTTTCGGGGAAAATTTTCTTGCGGGACATGGCGGGTAGTCACGAGCGGGCAAGATAGCTCCATCTTGCCCGCTCACGGAGCTAGCCATGTAATAAGCGTACTTTTTGCTAACGTCGTTGAATGCACTCTAAGTAATTTAGATAGTCTTGTAATATACTCAAACGGCGCGGGGCATTTTTCAACATGCTCTTGGTGATTATAATTTACTCAACGTGAACAAATATTGCTTTTCGAATATGCTCTTACTAAATGATTAGAAGCTACTCAACGTGCTCAAATATTGCATGCTCCGAATCTAAGTTAATACCTGGAGCCATAATGCTAATACTTAAAAAATGCACGGAGTATCTAAACTGAACCGTACACATAACATTCAAATAAAATTGACTTAAATGGTCCGTGTACCGATCCAGTTTCTTAATGTTTATTTTGTTTTCAAATCAACATCTTTTGAACGACAATGATCAAAAAACTTGTTTCTAAAAAGCGTGTTTATAAAACTAATAATACCATGTTTGTTTTATACAACATTCGTAGACAACCAACACCAAAACACGTGACAGTTTTTTTAACGGGACATGACGAATAGATTCCTGTTAATGACAACTACAACCAGGAAGCGGATTGCAGATATTAGATTTTAACACATCGTATTTGGGACATCCGTATACTTCTAAACTGATACTTGGAAAGTTCAGTTTTTGTAATAAGTCTTGTTCAACGTATCCTCCCTTGTAAGTAACTACAGGTTTATCCTCTGTGTTGGTCTCCTCCTACAAGTTCCTTATCAGCGTCTTCCAGTCGATAGTACTCGTGGGCTTTTTCTCCCTGTCGGGGTTGATAAATCAATCTGTGCACCGCATTGTTTTTCACGTAAGAAACTGTTTTTCTGTTTCCGAGAGATAAGTTACACCACGTAGGCATTTTATTGTTTTGGCAATGTGAAAACGCTCTATAATAGACAGAATTTAAGAGTGGGATGTGCCAGATAGATGTCAGGGCACTATGTCACAGGAATATCAGCCCCGCTCTCCCCTGTTACAGTCAAAGCCACCCCAGCTTTTCAGATACTTTATAATCCACGAGATGTATTCAATTTAATCCTCCTGAAGAGCAAAAGAAACAGAGCCGCGTGGAATATAGGACAAGATTACTGTCATACCTATCTTTCACATCTCAACGCGATTAACCCGATGAAGCTGACAACAAAATGTTGCCCCAATCGTACATTCATACGAGACCCTTATGATGTCATCGGCGTCCGAGTTGTCTTGGCGATACTTAAAGTGATAAACATGACTTGGACGTTTGTGACTCGAAACCTGCTAATATGGATTGGCTGGAAACAAATTTACATAGACTTCAATGCGGAAAAGTGTAAACAGGCCGGAAATGACAAAGCAAATGAGAAAAAGACTTTCGAACAGCTCAACAACGCTGTTTTTAGTAGAATGAGGGAAATTGTTGCTCAACATCAACTTTAAACTGAATTGGAATGGAAATATCTACGCGGGCTTTACAAACTCGGCACTGTTAATAAAAGTATTCATTTTTTTATTTCCTCTACGACAATAACAAGGCAGAGTTTGGATCTCAAGCAAACTTGTTAAGAGGTCAATACTCGTGCAATATACACGGTTATGACAGGCGAAGCAAATTTTTTGATAACTTCTCTGAATACTCGAGAGACCACGTCACTTCATAAAATATACACTGAATGCTACTCCATACTGGACAGCCTTTTCATGCAGTTATGTGTAACGTATTTTTATCTTAAAGCGAATGTATGTAGCCTAATACGTTTGTTTTTGCTTTTTTTTATTCACTGAAGTTTTTATCAGTCTTGTTATTGACCTGGGAAGGTGCTGTGAATAAAAGTAGGAAATCACGGCGAGACCTCCTGATGAAGAATGAATATCTATTGATACGGGCCGGACAGTTACAGTTGTCTTCTCCGGTGGAAGGAATGCCGACACTTCTTCGGATTAGCAGTCGCCCTTCTCGACGGAGATTCTTGCTACGCCGTTTGCCAGCAACCCACTCGAACTTCCTGGCAAATTCACATCAGAACTGTCGTTTTGGGATGTTTTCTCCGAGTCCAGCTACATGAGCTGTGATTGGTCAATTTAGCGATGAATGGAAAGGCTTGGTGAAGGCAGTGCCTTTAACACTGAAAGACATGCTTTGAACTCGGGTCAAAAATTAACAGTAAAAGACGAATTTAAATTGAAAGTTCAGGAACTGCTGAAGACAAAAAATTACTTTCAAAACTCTAGATTTTGTTACCAATTACGGCTGTGCTTGGACAAAGAGCTTGTAAACCTAAGTGAACGTGATACTTATTTTATCAGCGGCATCGTTTCAAATAGAAAAAAGGCTTGTCGAAGCTTGCGGTAAGTATCGCAGTGCGTTCGAAATCAGGGCCGGGTTGTTCAAAACTCGATAAAGTTAACCCAGTGTTAGCGAGAATTTTGATTTCAAATTTGCAACTTTTCAGTGAGGTTTTTTGTTTATTTTGTTTGTCGTTCAGTTTTGAGTTTGAATAATTTCAAACTGCACAAAACATAAACACTGAAAAGCATTTTTAAACCAAAAAAATTGACTTCGGTTAACTTTTAATCCTGGGTTAGCGTTAACCGGCTTTCTAACAACCCGACCCAAACAGAGAGTATGAGGCCAGACGCTTTAGACGAGCAGGGACTGGGACGAGACATGTTCGGGTTGACGGATAAACACTGGTCAGACCCTAAGACAAAAGACTGTCTCTCAGTAGTCTAATTTTGATTATTCCACAGTTTCCCTATATAAACCGTACGCTCGTTAGTTTACGTTCAATCGGCTGATTCTTCAGCGAGACAGGTGTTTACACAGCAGCTTTAGACTGTTGCCGGCGAGACGAATATTTGATAAACTTTAGACAGTTGATTTATAAGTCGAGCTTCACTACACTACACGTAGCGGTATCATAAGGCTACAAGTGGACTAGAACTTCATTAGTGCTCACATGAATGTATAAATTATCTTAATGTATGATCAGGAGCCATAATCGGGGACGGAGACCGTAAGCGCGCGACATTTCTAGTATTGTGGCTGTCCCCATGATATGGGACAATTTCTCTATTTTTAGAACAAATTGTGCCATCGTGTGCTGCACACGCGCGTACATGCTGCGAGGATTTTTGCGGATGTAGCGCCGGGAAAATGGCGTCCGAAATTCCCGAAATGTTTTCTGCTCTTGGCCCTTTTGGCCCACAACTCAAAACGTTTATGTCCGTTGGAATTTCGCTTAAGTATTTTTGTCCTAAGCTGCTCCAATTTGAGTGAAGTAAGGCAGTGTCGAATTTGGGTATGTCTGTACATACTGCTCAGTTTTTTGTGTGTAAAAATCCAATAAATTGTTTGTTGTCGATGAATAAGAGCGCCCGCCGATGCTTGTTTTGTACAGTCAGTAAACATGACAAATTGGACTTCCGCACTTTCGTGTGAAGACGTACATCGAACTCATACAATATCTATATAGTTTTTAGATATGTTTAAGGTTAATAAATGTTTGAGAACATATTGAAAGCTTAGCTGAAGATATGTGAATACAGCAGAAACAATCAGCAAAGTTACGATGACGCTTTCTTTAATCAACTCAAATAGTGATTTTGTTGGTCGAGTTATCAAAACTCCTTGTCTATTTTGTTTTCGCAGTGTAAAATTTCACTATGTTGGAGAAATACACATGATGTTAGTAGCCTTTTGGTGTTGCTAAGATTTGTTGCAGCATCTCAGCACAAAAGATAACGAAATAAATCTTTCTCACGATTTGTTGACAATTGAAAACACCGACTCGGACTTGAAAGTGCACGACTATGCAAATGAGCTACTTGTTCGCGTCAGAATTTCCTTTCAAAAACTATTGCAAACTCGCCAGACAGGCAGAAACAATAAGAAACTATCAAAAATAGGTTTTAGGTTATGATTAAGCATTGCTTGAGAAACTCACAAATTAACTCGATACGAGTAGAGAGTTTTCTTACATAACTTTTCTTTACAGAGCAAACGCAAAAGTTTACACATACAACTAGCGTGAGCAGATATTATTCCTTCACAGTGCGAAATTGAAGTCTTGTTTTCGACCCTGAAAAACTCACCTTTTCCATTAGCTCAGAGCATAAAACTACATATAAGCGCCCTGGTTTTCATTCGCTGCCATCGCTGTGAAAAATCCGTAAGAGAATCTTGCAACTGTCGCCATTTGATCCCGCAACAGGACAACATCCACACGAGAGCCCACCTCATGCGCGTGGATCTGCGCGGATATATGTCGTCAGGGTGACGCAATTTGTTCTACTAGAAGCATGTCACCCAGAACTAGACGATATGCTTCTGGTTCAGGGGCGGGGGAAAATTAACTCGGCAAAACCCACTGTGATCAAATGACTGAGGGAAACTTATACAAAGAGGAATATTTGTATTTTTGATTATTCAATAAGAGTTATGAATAATCATGTAGGGTCAACTTTCACTCGGCCTTCAGAGGCTACATTTTCACATGCAAACACTTGATAAAGTTGCCTCAGTGGGGAGGGTTATCTCGGGTACCCGCGACCATATAAATGGGACCTGTGTTGCCTCAAAGAACACCCCCACGATTTTCAAAGGGGAAGGTCCTTAAACAGCACCTTAACTTAGGGCTTCCTTGGCAGATTCCTTCTGATGGCTTGAATTTGAATAATTGATTTAATTACTTTTAAAGAGTACTAGAACTCAAAAATCTTCCTCGAATTTCGATCCAGCGAGACATAAGCTTCCATGCCATGAATCAAGTTTTTACTGGGC